ACATGTGTGACCCTATCTTTGGAAATAAAAAAATTGTGGGAATTAAAATAAAAAATCGCTCGCTCGCACCGATTTTCACAGGCTCATGACCTGAGAATCAACTTTATTTTTTACCATGGCCTTACATCCGCACAATAATTTCAAGAAATTTTGGATTCATGATCGCTCGAGAAGGCGAAGCCGAAGGAGAAACAAAAAATCCCTTTTTCACTTCTTTGTTGAAGAATGCCTCCTGTTCGTGATGATAGGCGGCGAAGAAGACTTTTGGCGTTGATCTCACGGACGAACAGGTGATGCAGGAACAGACAGCACCTTAGTTGAGCTCAATGAGCTAATGGGCCCATAGCCTGGTACGTCCGAAAACGTTTTGTGCCACAGCTTGAAGTTGCCCCACTTGGCACCTGCAGCTGCGAGATCTAAATTGCCTGCATTGCCACCACAACCATCACCTACAGCTGCTCCGGTTTGGGTTGAAGCTGTGTACTTCTTGTAGAAATCTCTCGCCTTCCACTTGAGGTTGTCGATTTTATTGCTGACAACCTTGAGCGAGAACTCATGCTCGTTCTTCTCCCCATATAGTTGCATGCTTTTGCTGCTCGCCCCACAGCTCGATCAATTTTTGTTCTAACTCATCGTTGAAGTGAACCAAAGGCATTGTCCAGGAGAGTTGAGGAAACGCTCGACCAACACGACAGCCACAACAAAAAAACTCTTCACGAATGTGAAAACGGAAGAATGCACTTTCTACAGTACAGGGGTCCTCGCTTGTCGTAAAGCGGGATTCACAGAAGCTTTTTTGCGATGCGACACGCGATGCGACGCGATCTGCGATGGATGCGTGCGATGCGAACTCGCGAAATACCATTCACAGAAGAAGTCAGCGATGCGACAAAGTTTTGCTGATTTGGGTACGTCACCATGATATTCGCGCGGTTTGACACAACTTGTAAAAATTTATAGGCAACTCTTGCACCTTTGTACAACTTTGCTGTAGAAAAGGTCGAAATCGTACACCAAATCGCTTGTCGCATCGCATCGCATCGCAAAAGTTGAGCCAAGCTCAACTTCTGCGATGGCCCAGTTGCGGCAGTTGCGTGGGCCGCGACATGGCTGCGATTTGGGGTTTTCCCGGTTTCGCGCCTGTCGCATCGCGTGTCGCATCACAAAAAAGCTTCTGTGAATCCCGCTTAAGGAGTTTTTGGTCGGTTGTCATGATATGATGATCCGTATACGGGGTGAAAACGGGAGCAGAGGAAACGGGAGACGTGGACGTATACGACTTTTTGTATGAACGTACGTGCGTATCTCCCCCAGCCTTTTTCCGAGCGACCCTGTACTTCGATGTACGTGGGTTCAAATTTCTCCACAAAACCTGACTGCGTGTACGCGTCAAGAACTGTGCCTGTCTGATGACACGACCACCCGTTTTGGTTTTTTCACCATAGACGTAGACGTAAACGGGCCTAAGGCCTAAGGCCGTCATCACACCACGTTCTCCGACTCCCGTTTACGTCTACGTCTATGGTGAAAAAACCAAAACGGGTGGTCGTGTCATCAGACTGGCGCAGTTCTAGAGAATTCTTGACGCGTACACGCAGTCAGGTTTTTGGAGAAATTTGAACCCACGTACATCGAAGTACAGGGTCGCTCGGAAAAAGGCTGGGGGAGATACGCACGTTCATACAAAAAGTCGTATACCCCCCCTCTCCATACCACGTCTACGTCTCCCGTTTCCTCTGCTCCCGTTTTCACCCCGTATACGGATCATCATGACAACCGACCAAAAACTCCTTACGTGGACGTAGACGCAGCGCTTTGTACCATGGTGTGATGACAGCCTAAAGGCACGCGTGCCGTTTTCATTTTAGCGCCATTTTCCACCCATTGTCATGACGATTTTCATGAAAATGTCACTTATTCGGCGTTTTTTACCTTGTGTGAAAATGTAAACTTTTTTTTCTATTTTTTTTTTTTTTAAAGGGGAAGTTAAGGCAAAAATTAAAATTTCACCAGTTGTAGTCTTCGGGGTGCTGAGTCGAATGGTCTTGGTCCGAGGAAGCTGAGACGCTCCCTTCCTACTTGAATCCCAATCGAACTCGCGCACTTCCACCGAAACTGGGTGACTGCGCCCTACGAGATGGGGATTTGTATGCAAAATGTCACTAAGGCCGAGTAAAAAAAATTACTAGATGATCGTCCTTTTTTTTGGAAAAATCGGGGAGGGCGGGAGGATTTTATTTTTATTTTTTTTACTTTTTACCCTCTCATGCACACAGTGTACACAACAACATCAAGGTTTTTTTTCTCTTTTTTTCTTTTTTTTTCTTTTTTTCTTTTTCTTTCTTCAGCAGATCGATACTGACGTTGTGATATACTAGTAGTATGTGGTCCGTAAAGAAAGTATTAAACAAAGCGTGCACATGTTTCCTGCATCCGCGATCGGTAAAAAACCAACGATTTCGGCAAAAACTCACGATTTAAAAAATAAAATATTTCTTGGGGCGCTGACAAAAACTGGGGCGGACGGGGACGATCATCTAGCTTTTTTTTTTACTTGGCCTAAAAGCGCCATTTCGTTCTTCTAAAAGCACGGATGACCGCGATTGGCCCATATGTTGTAGTCTTTTGGACGCTGAGTCGACTGGTTTTGGTCCGAAAAGGCTGCGATGCAGCGTTCGCCCCTAATTCCCAATCGAACATGGTTGAAGAAGCGGTCACGTGCTCCTGCGTACACCAGTCACCTGGTCACCGTGCCTGCAGGGTACAACTTACAGCCTGTTTTGACCTTTTTTGGGTGCAGTCCTGTCACTCGAGTTGAACCTTGGTGTGAAAGTAACAGTTGTCGCCTGCTGGCGTGGTGACCAGGTGATTTTGGCACCCGGGAGCACGTGACCACTTGTTCAACCATGTTGGATTGGGAATAAAGGAGGAACGCTGCATCGCAGCCTTTTCGGACCAAAACCAGTCGACTCAGCGTCCAAAAGACTACAACATATGGGCCAATCGCGGTCATCCGTGCTTTTATAAGAACGAAATGGCGCTTTTAGTGACATTTTGCATACAAATCCCCATCTAGTAGGGCGCAGTCACCCAGTTTCGGTGGAAGTGCGCGAGTTCGATTGGGATTCAAGTAGGAAGGGAGCGTCTCAGCTTTCTCGGACCAAGACCATTCGACTCAGCACCCCGAAGACTACAACTGGTGAAATTTTAGTTTTTGCCTTAACTTCCCCTTTAAACTTGGTAAACCGGCCTCTTGTACGGGCAGAATTAAGTAACACAGTGATACAATAAAAACAAGTACCAGTAGTTACATACATGGACCATACGAGAAAAAGCAGTGATGACGAGGCATAAACAAGTGTCTAGTGCTGTATGGCAGCTTCCGAGACAGCGAGTCGAGCGGATGACTCAGCCACCTCCGGGTGCGAATACAGCCGTCGTGCACCACGCAGGCAAGCCACGCCTGCACGGAGAAGGGCGAAGCTGGACCTGCAGCGGATCCATGCCATCACTGCAGAGTATGGCTCACCAGATTTGTCGGAGACCATTGCAGCTATTCTCTTGAGGAGAGCGGCAGCAGCTCGACCAGTACCACCAGTTGCAGCGAAAACCACAGGGATGAAGGTTCCACGCTCTATTTTTCGGTCATTTTATTTTTTTCCACCTCTTGCATGCATACATGTAGTATGTCTGTATGATGTACGATTTGCGGGTGACGAGAAACGTACCGCGTACCGGTACGGTAGGAATAAAACTGCATGACTGTAGTCCGATCCGGTGCATGCATGCTGTAGACCGTCACCGGTACAGTACGGTGTGTGTACCTGGTGTACTGACGTACATGTACATGTAGGTCTACGTAACTACAGTTCCCGTATGTCACATGACTGTCGCCTTGGAGTCGACCAATGACAGATCAAATTACGCGGGCTGGAAAGCGCGATCCTGCCTGATGAATGGTGATGGAACTAGTTCCACTGCCCGTCGTCAAGTGACGACGGGCAGTGGACGGAATCCACTGCCCGTCGTCACTTGACGACGGGCAGTGGACAGAATCCACTGCCCGTCGTCACTTGACGACGGGCAGTGGACAGAATCCACTCATGAGTCTACCATTTCAATGACAAGCTTCTGTGGTCTGAAAGTACATGCAAAAGTCGTGTACTCAGTAACTGTAGTCCGTGTCCGGTTGTCGAAGTCACTCTCACTCACTGTGACTCAGCTGCAGATCAGCTCACACTGACACAGCCTCATACAGCCATACAGGACTCGAGTCAAGTCACAGAATGGTTCATGTAAACTCAAACGTCAAAGATTGTGAGTGATCTCCTTGGCTTGGGTGCATACGGGAAACACGTTCCAGTCACTCATACTCGGTCAGCACCGCTGCTCATCCAGCCCTTGCCGCTATCGCGGCGCGGGCTGGATTCCGCGGTACTGCCCTCATACTCGTGCAGGAACCTGTACTGATCGCCAAAAAAATCTAATCTGGCCAATGCTGTGTACAGTAGTGGCATGGCAGGTAGGTAGGTTCATGCCCACGGCCACACCACTTGCACGGCACTGGCACCAGCATGCACCGAACAGTCTCTGGTGAGCGCGCTGCACTCTGCCTGACTCAGTGACTGCTGGATGCAGTCGGGTCGAGCATTGCACAATGCTAGCGCTAATATAAGCGCTAGCTTGTACTGCTTAGGTAGATCTACTAGCATTGCATTTGGCCGTATGATTACAGTCGGCCCTCTCTAATCCAGCACTTTATTATAAACCAGCACCCTCGATAAACCAGCACAATTTTCAGTAGCCAGAGACTAGAGTGTCCTCTTCATGCACATTGCAGCAGTAAATCCGATTTGTTAATCCAGCACCCTCCCTTATCCAGCAGATTTTCCGTGGCACAGATGGTGCCGGATTATAGAGGGCTCTCTGTACCATCCTTTCCATGCCAAGTGAAGTTTTTTCCCTTTTTCTGATTCTTGTTTTGTTTGTTTTGTGTTGTGGAATGTTTTTGATTTTTGTTTGTTCCAACAAAGAAGTGCAGTATTGTAGTACTAGGATCCCAAGAGTCCATGGCATACCGTATGGCCACACTCTTGATGACACAGTTGTCTGTACTGTAGTACTAAGTCTTGTTCCTACTCAGCTACTGGGCAATGCCTGTGGATGTGGACATGCACGTGGCGCGGTGTTGCTCCCTCAGCTAATCCGTAATCGCACAGATTGTTTCCAACAGTGGAGCACAGTCACGGCTGGCAAGATACAATTATTTAGCGCCCTGGGTATAGCCATGTAGGGCTGCAGACTCGGAATGCTAGCTCACAGCTGTATTCAAGATTCGAATTTGAAGAATTATACAGGCCAGTACAGTGTAGCCCAACGCAAGTCTCAAATTTGGAAGACTATGGGCCGTTCATCACTTGGAACACTGCGCAGATGGGCGATAATCTCAATAGTACGCTCTGTAGGCTTCAACCATCAGCCCCCAGTAAGCCATACTGCACCAGATCCAACGTCTTTTCTTGGTCAAGGCCACGCTTGTCTTCAGAGTTTAGTCAGAATCATCCTGGTATTCAGCTGCTTCACTAATACCAGTGCTCAGAAATAGTGCTGCCCCCCTTCTCCAAAGGTAGGCAGGTGCAGTGAACGATTACAATAATTATGTTGCAGTTTCATGCTTTATGGACTCTATGAAGCCGCAGATTGTGTTGTCGGAGTTCACACTTTTTTATAGGGGTCAAACGGGTGTACCTTTAACTAACGAACGGGTAATTTTCTGAAGGGGCGGGTTAACGGGTACCCTTTAGCAGCCATGTTAAATTTTTTGCGCAATTTTCACATAAATCAAGATTTTAATTCATCTGTTCTCGGCTTGCATTTTGATATCACATTGTGTTTCGCAAATCGATTGGTGTCTTATAGTCGCAGGAGTACATCTACTAGGTGCGAAAATGCAACAACAATGCAGACATCCAGCGTGGAGTTGTAAATTATTGACTCCCGCCTGGAATACACGATCCCAGCAGCGTTGCTCCGTACTGACTGGTCCATCAAAATCCAAACGGGTACCCTTTTACTAACGGTACCTGAGATTAACGGTCGGGTACCCGGGTACCCGGTACACCCCTTTGACCCCTACTTTTTTAGTACAGATTTATGGTGTTGTAAGCCCAGTTTTCACTTGGATGGTGTGCTGAGAGGGAGTGCGTGCAACTACAGTCAGTGTTGATGGTCAGACTACTAGTAGAGACAGTAGTCAGTACAAGCTTAGCGACAACTCAAAGAGTATGACAATTATCAGCTCTGAGGAAGCTGTGTGTACACAAACTGGTCTTCATCGACAGCAGCTGCAGAAGCAGTACTGGATTAAAAGCGTTAACAACAGGAGGAACAGAAGCAGCAGCAGCAGTAGCTTTAGTTGCTGTTGTTGCAGCTGTAGTGCAGAGATCAGCATAAAGAGAACGTTGTGTGTGCCGTTTCCCTGTGCAATCGTTTCTAGTTGTAGTTTCAGTTATAGCGGTGGCGGCGGCGCTAGTGACCTGGAATCATTACAGATTAATAGTAGTACTAGTAGTGGTTTCATTCCTGGACCAATGCCATTTGCTCCAGTTGTGAGTGGGAATATAATTATAAGGTCCTCCATGTGCTGTGCACGGAGGCCTTCGGTTAATTTCAATATCTTCCTTTTTGGCCGGCTTTCCAAGTTGCGCTATTGTGAATAGTGATCTGCTTTGATAGTAGTGACTGCTAATATTTGCCTGGATTTGACTCGAGTTTGGATTTTTTATTCAATCATCTTTCCGACTACTACTACTACTACTACTACTACTTGACACAATCTTTATTAGGAAACTTGAAATGGAGTTGTGAAACACAAATACAGCCATGTAGATGGAGCAGCAATGCAATACAATGTCCAAAACTCAAAAATACTACTACTACTACTACTACTACTACTACTACTACTACTACTACTACTACTACTACTACTACTACTACTACTACTACTACTACTACTACTACTACTACTACTACTACTACTACTACTACTACTACTACTACTACTTGACACAATCTTTATTAGGAAACTTGAAATGGAGATGTGAAACACAAATACAGCCATGTAGATGGAGCAGCAATGCAATACAATGTCCAAAAACTCAAGAATTCATTATCATGGGGCAATGTTGGGCAAATGTCTGTCAGGTACTATCACGCTCAGGCTGCCCGCAACCTGCACATCGTCGTGAAATTCATCCTGTTGCGGCGATATGACGATCTTGAACCCCGCAAACAGGTGACTGCCCATCGCATAAGGCAGACTGACAGCTTACAACGGAGCTGACCCATGATAACCGATACGTGTAGGTCGACTACTACTACTACTACTACTACTACTACTACTACTACTACTACTACTACTACTACTACTACTACTACTACTACTACTACTACTACTACTACTACTACTACTACTACTACTACTACTACTACTACTACTACTACTACTACTACTACTACTACTACTACTACTACTACTACTACTACTACTACTACTACTACTACTACTACTACTACTACTACTACTACTACTACTACTACTACTACTACTACTACTACTACTACTACTACTACTACTACTACTACTACTACTACTACTACTACTACTACTACTACTACTACTACTACTACTACTACTACTACTACTACTACTACTACTACTACTACTACTACTACTACTACTACTACTACTACTACTACTACTACTACTACTACTACTACTACTACTACTACTACTACTACTACTACTACTACTACTACTACTACTACTACTACTACTACTACTACTACTACTACTACTACTACTACTACTACTACTACTACTACTACTACTACTACTACTACTACTACTACTACTACTACTACTACTACTACTACTACTACTACTACTACTACTACTACTACTACTACTACTACTACTACTACTACTACTACTACTACTACTACTACTACTACTACTACTACTACTACTACTACTACTACTACTACTACTACTACTACTACTACTACTACTACTACTACTACTACTACTACTACTACTACTACTACTACTACTACTACTACTACTACTACTACTACTACTACTACTACTACTACTACTACTACTACTACTACTACTACTACTACTACTACTACTACTACTACTACTACTACTACTACTACTACTACTACTACTACTACTACTACTACTACTACTACTACTACTACTACTACTACTACTACTACTACTACTACTACTACTACTACTACTACTACTACTACTACTACTACTACTACTACTACTACTACTACTACTACTACTACTACTACTACTACTACTACTACTACTACTACTACTACTACTACTACTACTACTACTACTACTACTACTACTACTACTACTACTACTACTACTACTACTACTACTACTACTACTACTACTACTACTACTACTACTACTACTACTACTACTACTACTACTACTACTACTACTACTACTACTACTACTACTACTACTACTACTACTACTACTACTACTACTACTACTACTACTACTACTACTACTACTACTACTACTACTACTACTACTACTACTACTACTACTACTACTACTACTACTACTACTACTACTACTACTACTACTACTACTACTACTACTACTACTACTACTACTACTACTACTACTACTACTACTACTACTACTACTACTACTACTACTACTACTACTACTACTACTACTACTACTACTACTACTACTACTACTACTACTACTACTACTACTACTACTACTACTACTACTACTACTACTACTACTACTACTACTACTACTACTACTACTACTACTACTACTACTACTACTACTACTACTACTACTACTACTACTACTACTACTACTACTACTACTACTACTACTACTACTACTACTACTACTACTACTACTACTACTACTACTACTACTACTACTACTACTACTACTACTACTACTACTACTACTACTACTACTACTACTACTACTACTACTACTACTACTACTACTACTACTACTACTACTACTACTACTACTACTACTACTACTACTACTACTACTACTACTACTACTACTACTACTACTACTACTACTACTACTACTACTACTACTACTACTACTACTACTACTACTACTACTACTACTACTACTACTACTACTACTACTACTACTACTACTACTACTACTACTACTACTACTACTACTACTACTACTACTACTACTACTACTACTACTACTACTACTACTACTACTACTACTACTACTACTACTACTACTACTACTACTACTACTACTACTACTACTACTACTACTACTACTACTACTACTACTACTACTACTACTACTACTACTACTACTACTACTACTACTACTACTACTACTACTACTACTACTACTACTACTACTACTACTACTACTACTACTACTACTACTACTACTACTACTACTACTACTACTACTACTACTACTACTACTACTACTACTACTACTACTACTACTACTACTACTACTACTACTACTACTACTACTACTACTACTACTACTACTACTACTACTACTACTACTACTACTACTACTACTACTACTACTACTACTACTACTACTACTACTACTACTACTACTACTACTACTACTACTACTACTACTACTACTACTACTACTACTACTACTACTACTACTACTACTACTACTACTACTACTACTACTACTACTACTACTACTACTACTACTACTACTACTACTACTACTACTACTACTACTACTACTACTACTACTACTACTACTGGTAGTGGTAGTAGTAGTAGTAGTAGTAGTAGTAGCAGCAGCAGCAGCAGCAGCAGCAGTAGTGCTTTGGATTGGCCACAAACGCTGTGTGACTCAGATTGTTTACCATATTTTCCTGCATTGCATTGTAGGACAAGTGTGAGCAGTCAACAGCAACACAGTCAAGCAAGATACCACGGAGAGCTCCCGACATGACAAAAGCAAGATGAAACACACAAGCAGTAAAGCTGCTCACGGCGGAAGTGGTGGGAATGCTTGGATCCAAGGTCCCCATTATCAACCGAGTCAGGTAAGACCATACCGTTGCTGGCAGTGTTACCCTGTTTTTGTTGTTGCTGCTGCTACTGCTGCTGTTGCTGCTGCTGCTATTGTTGCTGCTGCTGCTGCGGCTGCTGCTGTTGCTGCTGCTGCTCCTGCTGTTGTTGCTGCTGCTGCTGCTGCTGCTGTTGTTGTTGTTGCTGCTGCTGTTGCTGTTGCTGTTTCTGCTGCCGCCGCCTGTTCTACCGCTGCTGTTGTTGCTGTCTCTCTTTCATCTGCTGCTCTTGTTGTGAGGGTGTTGTCCTACTGATGCTTCTGTTTTGGTGATGGTAGTACGAGGTGATTTGGCAATCTTTTAACTAGTGTGTAAAATTAGCTTTTGTTCGGTCTATTATCTGCCATGGATGGTTAGATCGAAACATTTGTGGTGGTGGTGGTTGCAAAAGGGAGACAATCAATGGTAGATCAACATCGACCGGGAACTTTGATGCATGTAATTTCTTTCTCAGGCGTAAATGTTAGTGCGGATACGTTGCACTTTGTGTAAAACCTGTAAAATCAGGCCTGAATGGACAAGCGTGGCAGTGAATTGCATCAATAGGGCTTCAGGACGAGGTCAGGCCATCTTGCCACCACTAGAGACAATATGAAGAGCAGTAGGTCACGGAATACACTCTGTGAGAACGAAAAGAGCAGCTGTAGTGTTGTGCTATTGATCCTATTCAACTCTGACACAGCTACTAGTTACAATTTAAACTATGCAACTTTCACAGTTCACACAACAGTGCCATTGCCAAGTTAATTTTCATCATATCAAGGGCAAGGTTAGCAATGCTGGACTGCTGTTGTGCACCAACAGTGGCAAACCACCTCCTTCTCTTCAGCCTGCAATGGTTACTAGCATGATGCAATACTTAGCATTGCATTGCTCATTCATAGCTAGACATACCCTCCCCCCTCCCCCCAACTAGTAATGCTTGAAGTGATATTATATTATCAACTTCAGAACATTCATCACTGACTATCCCGATTTGTGATGCCATTTTACAAATTGTTGACAAAATGCAACGCCAAGGATTTGCATGTTCAGATGATACTATGAAAACAGGACACGATGAATTTAAAGGAACTTTACACTGTGGGAGCATTCCCATTTTTGGACACAATGGCCGTGACGGATAACACTTACACTTGTCACAATTTGTTTGCACAGAACGGGGCTACGAGTTTGGGAAACATTACATTTTACAATCGTGTTAAAAAAACTGCAAATCACGTCGTACTGCTTCTGCTGCTGCTGCAGCCACCGCTGCCGCTGCCCCAACAGTCGCTTCTGATGTTTTCTGCTGCCACCGCGCCATCGCTACTGCTATCACGGCTTCTATTGTGGTGGTGGAGGTGGTACTGCTGCCGCAGTCAACACTGCTGCTATCCCGTCGTTGCTCCTCCTGTTGTACAGCTGCTGCTGCTGCTGCTGTTATGAAGACTCTGTTGTTGGGTGTGTGTGTAGTGGAGCTGCCTGTGCAGCCACGGATCCTGCTGCTACCACCACCACCACCACGGCTGCTGCTGCTACTTGAGTTGTTCCTGCTTCTGCAGTGGTGGTGATGATGCTGATGCTGCTCATGCTCTTGTGCCACTGCTGTTGCATTCGGTGCTGTGGATGGTGCTGTGAATGGTGTTGTGAATGCTGCTATGGATGGTGCTCTGGATGGTGATGTGAATGGTGCTGTGAATGGTGTTGTGGATCGTGTTGTGAATGGTGCTGTGGATGGTGCTGTGGATGGTGCTGTGGATGGTGTTGTGGATGGTGTTGTGAATGGTGTTGTGGATGGTGTTGTGAATAGTGCTATGGATATTGTTGTGGATGGTGTTGTGGATGGTGCTGTGGATGGTGCTGTGAATGGTGTTGTGGATGGTGTTGTGGATGGTGCTGTGAATGGTCTTGTGGATGGTGCTGTGGATGGTGTTGTGGATGGTGTTGTGGATGGTGCTGTGGATGGTGCTGTGGATGGTGCTGTGGATGGTGTTGTGGATGGTGCTGTGGATGGTGTTGTGGATGGTGTTGTGATTGGTGTTGTGGATGGTGCTGTGGATGGTGTTGTGGATGGTGTTGTGAATGGTGCTGTGGATGGTGCTGTGGATGGTGCTGTGGATAGTGCTATGGATGGTGCTGTGGATGGTATTGTGAATGGTGCTGTGGATGGTGCTGTGGATGTTGTTGTGTATGGTGTTGTGTATGGTGTTGTGGATGGTGCTGTGGAAGGTGTTGTGGATGGTGCTGTGGATGGTGTTGTGAATGGTGTTGTGGATGGTGCTGTGGATGGTGCTGTGGATGGTGTTGTGGATGGTGTTGTGGATGGTGCTGTGAATGGTGTTGTGAACGGTGTTGTGGATGGTGTTGTGGATGGTGCTGTGAATGGTGTTGTGAATGGTGTTGTGGATGGTGCTGTGGATGGTGCTGTGGATGGTGTTGTGAATGGTGTTGTGTATGGTGTTGTGGATGGTGCTGTGGAAGGTGTTGTGGATGGTGCTGTGGATGGTGTTGTGAATGGTGTTGTGGATGGTGCTGTGGATGATGTTATGGATGGTGCTGTGGATGGTGTTGTGAATGGTGTTGTGGATGGTGCTGTGGATGATGTTCTGGATGGTGCTGTGGATGGTGTTGTGGATGGTGCTGTGAATGGTGCTGTGGATGGTGTTGTGGATGGTGCTGTGGATGTTGTTGTGTATGGTGTTGTGTATGGTGTTGTGGATGATGTTATGGATGGTGCTGTGGATGGTGCTGTGGATGGTGCTGTGGAAGGTGTTGTGGATGGTGCTGTGGATGGTGTTGTGAATGGTGCTGTGGATGGTGCTGTGGATGATGTTATGGATGGTGCTGTGGATGGTGTTGTGGATGGTGCTGTGGATGATGTTATGGATGGTGCTGTGGATGGTGTTGTGGATGGTGCTGTGGATGGTGCTGTGGATGGTGCTGTGAATGGTGCTGTGAATGGTGTTGTGGATGGTGTTGTGAATGGTGCTGTGGATGGTGTTGTGGATGGTGCTGTGGATGGTCCTGTGAATGGTGCTGTGGATGGTGTTGTGAATGGTGTTGTGAATGGTGTTGTGGATGGTGTTGTGGATGGTGTTTTGGATGGTGTTGTGAATGGTGCTGTGGATGGTGCTGTTGATGGTGTTGTGAATGGTGCTGTGGATGGTGCTGTGAATGGTGTTGTGAATGGTGCTGTGGATAGTGCTGTGGATGGTGTTGTGGATGGTGTTGTGGATGGTGCTGTGGATGGTGCTGTGAATGGTGTTGTGGATGGTGCTGTGAATTGTGTTGTGGATGGTGCTGTGGATGGTGCTGTGAATGGTGTTGTGAATGGTGTTGTGAATGGTGTATTGGATGGTGTTGTGAATGGTGTTGTGAATGGTGTTGTGGATGGTGCTGTGGATGGTGTTGTGGATGGTGCTGTGGATGGTGTTGTGGATGGTGCTGTGGATGGTGTTGTGAATGGTGTTGTGAATGGTGTTGTGAATGGTGTATTGGATGGTGTTGTGAATGGTGTTGCGAATGGTGTTGTGGATGGTGCTGTGGATGGTGTTGTGGATGGTGCTGTGGATGGTGTTGTGGATGGTGCTGTGGATGGTGCTGTGGATGGTGTTGTGAATGGTGTTGTGGATGGTGCTGTGGATGGTGCTGTGGATGGTGCTGTGAATGGTGTTGTGGATGGTGCTGTGAATGGTGCTGTGAATGGTGTTGTGGATGGTGTTGTGGATGGTGCTGTGGATGGTGCTGTGGATGGTGCTGTGAATGGTGTTGTGGATGGTGTTGTGGATGGTATTGTGCATGGTGTTGTGGATGGTGCTGTGGATGGTGTTGTGGATGGTGCTGTGAATGGTGTTGTGGATGGTGTTGTGGATGGTGTTGTGGATGGTGTTGTGAATGGTGTTGTGAATGGTGTTGTGGATGGTGCTGTGGATGGTGTTGTGGATGGTGTTGTGGATGGTGCTGTGGATGGTGCTGTGGATGGTGCTGTGAATGGTGTTGTGGATAGTGTTGTGGATGGTGCTGTGAATGGTGTTGTGGATGGTGCTGTGGATGGTGTTGTGGATGGTGCTGTGAATGGTGTTGTGAATGGTGCTGTGGATGGTGCTGTGGATGGTGCTGTCGATGGTGTTGTGGATGGTGCTGTGGATGGTGCTGTGAATGGTGTTGTGAATGGTGTTGTGAATGGTGTTGTGAATGGTGTTATGAATGGTGTTGTGGATGGTGCTGTGGATGGTGTTGTGGATGGTGTTGTGGATGGTGCTGTGGATGGTGCTGTGGATGGTGTTGTGGATGGTCCTGCGAATGGTGTTGTGAATGGTGCTGTGGATGGTGTTGTGGATGGTGTTGTGGATGGTGCTGTGAATGGTGTTGTGAATGGTGCTGTGAATGGTGTTGTGGATGGTGTTGTGGATGGTGCTGTGAATGGTGTTGTGGATGGTGCTGTGGATGGTGTTGTGGATGGTGCTGTGAATGGTGTTGTGAATGGTGCTGTGGATGGTGCTGTGGATGGTGTTGTGGATGGTGCTGTGGATGGTGTTGTGGCTGGTGCTGTGGATGGTCCTGTGAATGGTGCTATGGATGGTGTTGTGAATGGTGTTGTGGATGGTGCTGTGGATGGTGCTGTGGATGGTGCTGTGGATGGTGTTGTGGATGGTGTTGTGGATGGTGTTGTGGATGGTGTTGTGGATGGTGCTGTGAATGGTGTTGTGAATGGTGCTGTGGATGGTGTTGTGGATAGTGTTGTGGATGGTGCTGTGAATGGTGCTGTGGATGGTGTTGTGGATGGTGCTGTGGATGGTGTTGTGGATGGTGTTGTGGATGGTGTTGTGGATGGTGTTGTGGATGGTGCTGTGAATGGTGTTGTGAATGGTGCTATGGATGGTGTTGTGGATGGTGCTGTGGATGGTGCTGTGGATGGTGCTGTGGATGGTGCTGTGGATGGTGTTGTGGATGGTGTTGTGGATGGTGTTGTGGATGGTGCTGTGAATGGTGTT